GTGCTCAGCTACCACTGCTGACCACTCTAAAAGGGATCACAAAAGAAGATCCTGGATAGAATGGAGAAAAAAACAACTGTGGAACAAAACTCAAAATAATGCCAAAGGCTCGGCTTACTGGTCTGATTGAGGTTGGTGAGACCTCTGAAACTATGACCCTTAGGCACCTTCAGGTCTGGACCTGAGTGCCCTCCCATGACTTAACTTTTAGCCAAATGAAAGACAGGCCTGTAAGGTAAACAGTAATATCAAGGAGTTATACATTTCTTAAAAAATCAACCATATAAGCAGCATTTAGCCAGGGATAAAACTTAAAAAGCAGGCAAGGATAAGAAAGAAGGATGAATGGAAATAGCAAAATCAGGGAGGAAGTGGCAGGAGAATCATTACGTTGGCTGTGTGTGGGTTAATGTGCCTGACTGTAAAACTGTTTGAACCGCAAGGTCGGTGGTTCGAGCTCACTAGCTGCTCCTTGGAAACCCTATACAGGGTCTCTATGAGTCAGAACAGATTCGATGGCACTTAACAACAACACCAAGGTTTCATAACTTCGTATATTCTCAGATCTATTCTTAGCACATATAAATACTTATATAAAATATAATAAGGAAGCATTTTGAATGTGTGCACAATCCTCAGCATTATCATTGCAGTATAGAAAATACCTGTTTCTGAATCAATGGTTTCAGATATGGTACATGTAAAATTCAGAATGAAGAGCAAATACTTTCATATTAAAATGACAGTACCAATGTTTTTAGTAAGTGAATTATTATTATAAATGTATTTTTGCATATAAAAAATAAAGTCATTGGCTAAAGGTCTTTTAAGTTAAAAAAATTGGGGAAGCAAATATCATAGGTTAGTCCTATGTAGATCTTAACTTCCTTTCTCTCTTTCACATATAGGACCTTAATAAAAATTTATTGAATGGATAGCCCAAGGCAAACTTTTATATTTAATACCTAAGAAATAAAATGAGTAATACACAAATAACTAATCTCAAAAATTTATAGAAAATTACAACACTTCCACAAGATAAAGACAGACTACTGAATGAAAAAATGGGCAGAGGACATGAACACACACTGCACCAAACAAGGCACTTAAATGGCTGATAAACATATGAAGAAATATTCTCAATCATTATTGTTGTTAAGTGCTGTTCAGTTAGTTCTGACTCATAGTGACCCTGTATAAGGTTTCTGAGAAGTGGCTGATGAGTTTGAACCACTGACCTTGCGGTTCAAACTGACCTTGTGGTTAAGTGCTTATCCTACAGCACCCTGCCACTCCATATCAAAACAACACTGAGATATTTCACCCCAGTATTAATAGCAAAAGAAAAAACAAGAAAAGAAAACAATTTCACCGCAGTATTAATAGCAAAGTAAAAAAAAAAACAACAAATGCTGAAGAGGGCATGGAGAAACTGGGATCCTTCTACATTGCTGGTGTTACTGTGAAATAGTGTAACCACTGTGGAAAATGGTATGACACTTCCTCAAAAAGTTGGAAATCGAAATACTGTATGACCAAGCAATCCCTCTAGTTGGTATATAAGAACCATGACACAAGTAGATATATTTATACCAATGTACATCACTGCGCTATTCACAATAGTAAATGGATGGAGACAGTCTAAATGCCCATCAGTGGATGAATGAATAAACAAACTTTGGTACATATCCACAGTGGAATACTATGCAATGTTGAAGAATAATGATGAATCTGTGAACCTCATAACATGGATGAACCTGGAGGACATTATGTTGAGTGAAATTAGTAAATTACTATATCGTGGTTCAAGCTCACCAGCTGCTCCTTGGAAACCCTATATAGGGTCGTTATGGGTTGAAACCAACTCAACGGCACTTAACAACAACAATATATGATAAATATTGCATAAGATCACTATTGTAAAAATTCAAGAAAAGGTTCTCAAATCAAGAGAAATTTTCTCTGATGGTTACCAGGGATGGAAGTGAAAGGAGAATAATTCACTGGCTAGAGAGTAGACACACTAGCACAGTTGACTGGGAGGGCAATAAACAAGAAGGAGATTGGAAAAAGAATGGTGAAGACATATGAAGACACAGGGAAGTATGTAAGGGTTAAAGGGGATTGTGTTAAATAGTATTACATACACAACCCTGGAACAGCAATGTTCTGCAGATTGATGTATGGACAAATATATAAGGTAAACGGGTATGAGAGGGAGAGTGGGGATATACCCACAAATAGATAAGGATTTGAAATCAGATATTTGTACATAATGACTTACCCTTTCTGCCAACTCACCTTTGAATGTGGTAGAACATATGTTGCTGTTGTTAAGATCCATTGAGTCAGTTCTTACTCATAGCGACCCTGTATAGTGTTTTTGAAGAGCGGTGGTGAGTTTGAACTGCCAACCTTTTGGTTAGCAGTGCAGTGGTTTTCCTACAGATCCAGAGCATACAGGGACCAAAATGATGAAAGATTATTAGTTATTATCAAACATCTTAAGGCAATGAGTTCCTGGTTCTGGGAGCTTAAGACTATAGTCTCAAGGGACACTATGAGTAATTGATATAACATAGTCCACAAAGACAATATTCTACATCCTACTTTTATGAGAAATGTCTGTGATCTTAAAAGCTCATGAGTGGCCATCAATGATGCAACTATTGGTCTCTCTATGTGCAGAAGAAAGAATGATGGAAATTGAAGATGCTTGTTGTTGTTGTTATGTGCCGTCGAGTCGGTTCTGACCCATAGCGACCTTGTACAGGGTTTCCGAGGCTGTAAATTTTTATGAGAGCAGAAAGCCTCATCTTTCTCCCGCAGAGTGCCTGGTAGTTTCGAACTGCGGACCTTAAGGTTCGTAAACACTATACTACCAGATGCTTAGAATCAACTAATCCAGTGAACTAATGTAGCAGGTGAACATCAGTCTCCATGAGTCTGAGACCAGAAGAACTAGATGGTGCCCAGCGACAACTACCAACTTTCCTGAAAGGGATCACATTGGAAGGTCCCAGACAAGGTGTCAGAAGATGTGGAACAAAGCTCAAAATTATTTAAAGAAGAAGAAGACTGGGTTTACCAGTCAAAAAGAGACTGGAAGACCTGAAGCTATCACCCTGGTCTGGAATAGAATGCACCATGATGGCTCAATTTTCAGCCAAGATAGTTACATAGGTGGGACAATAACACTAGTAAGGTAGAAGAATTGATGAATTTGAGTTATGGTGTTGGAAACGAATATTAAAAGTACCATGGGCCAATAAAATAACAAACATATTTATGTTGGAAGAAGTACAGCCAGAATGCTCGTTAGAAACCAAGGTAGCTAGATTTCATTTCTCCTACTTCTGACACATTATCAGGAGGGACCAGTCCCTGGAGAAGGACATCATGCTTGGTAAAGTGGAAGGTCAGCGAAAAAGGAGAAGACCCCAATGAGATGAACTGGCATAGTAGTAGCAACAATGTGCTCAATGTAGCAAAAGTTGTGAGGTTGGTGCAGAACCAGGTGGTGTTTTGTTCTTTTGTGCATAAGGTTGCTATGAGTCAGTATCAACTCGATGGAACCTAACAACAACAAGGTATGCTTACCATGCAATAGTTAATCAATCATTCTAGATCAAAAGGGCAACATTTACCTAAGGACAAAGTTGAGAAGGGAAGGGAAGGAATGCAAACAGAAACTACAGGGAGGAAGTGGGATAACTTGTTGCATAGGGGAGATTGCAATCATTGAGATGAAAGGGTATGTTTTATTGAATGTACAACTGATGATCTCTGTATACCTTCACCCAGTCCACAATAAAGCATTAAAAAAGAATAATCAAATGAGTAATGATGCATGTTGAGCCTCTAGGTTGCTTTTGTGGAAAATTACCTGCAGAAGCATGTCATAATTTACACAATGAAGAAAATAAATAAACTGATTTTTCAGTTAGTTAAAATATATATGAAATTTCAAGGTAGATTCCCTAAAGCAACTCTGTGGCATCAAAATATTTCTGTGTGATTAATAACTATAAAAATTCACCACTAATCAATCTATCTGGATAGACATGCTTTTAAGTGGTATTGATTTGGCTTTACATTCCCATATAATTTTCCTCATCAAAGTACAAATGAACTAACTAGCCATCATAAATATATAATCAGTATGGGAGTACCGATAGGAGCCATCAATAGGACTTTCCTGTTAGAAAATTAACTTTTAACAGTGACCATAAAAATCAGTAACTTTAAAGGTTTTGTACCAGTCCACTCTAATGATATCTTTGTAGTTGGATCTGTATGATAAAATTCACTTCTTTTTACTTTCTTGAAACCCTAAACCAGATGTCTTAGCAATCAAAGTCTGTTAACCAATGAATGGGCCAAATGATCAAAAACGGGTGGATGTGATCAGTAATACTCAAGAAACTCTTTTCCTAATAAACAACTTTGAAGTGCTTGCACCAATGATCCTGAGTTTCTCTGGAGACATTTTGATGATTAACATGATCAAAAATCTGTAGACAATTAAGATTCAGAATTATACTACATTACACATTAAGACAGACATATCTTTAAGTTTTGACATCATGAATGTTACAGAAAGCTGATGCTTTTGCCTTCATTATATTTTATGATATTGTTAAGTGCTGTTGAATCAGTTCTGACTCATAGTGACCCTAAATAGGGTGTCCAAGGAGCAGTTGGTGAATTTGAACCACTGACCTTACGATTCAAACCGACGTTGTGGTCCAGTGCTTTTCCTACAGCGCCACACCAGCACTCTATAGTTGATATTCTCTGTTAACATGAATGGTCAAAGTATGGTAGGAAAAGGAAGGGCATAAAGGAAGAGTCATCCACAGCAGTAAACCAGAGCCTCATAAGTAGGGTGTATGTGTCTGTGCATGTGCATCTGTGTGTGTGGCACACTGTGTGGCTTCCCTTTGCCATCGTTGATGTCCTCCACCTCAGTAAAATGCGTACTGATTCATGTCTTACAGATGACACGGGCTGTCCTAGTAGCCAGTCAGTATCTCCTGTGAAGACACCCTCAGACACTGGAAACAGCCCAGTTGGCTTTTGTCCTGGAAGTGATGAAGACTTTACCAGAAAAAAATGCACAACTGGAGTGGTTGGTGAAGGAAGCGTCCAGTCAGCTCGACATAAGAAGGAACCAAAGTCTGGCCTTGTAAAGCCAGGTATGTGCATGTCCTTTCTATGTTTTTATCAGAGCATTGTGACTGGAGAGATTTCAGTTTAGAAACCAGACTCCAGCATGTCGTGTGTGGCTACTAATGCTGTGCTGTATCCCATACTCAAAAGCATCATATTAGTGTCGTTTGTTTGGGTTCTGTGTTTTTCAAAAAAGGTGGGGAGGAAAGTAAAGTATCTTCTGTGGTGGCTGTTAATTATCGAATAAGTATACTGACATGTATGTCTATTACAAAGAGCTTTAAAGGAGCAAAGTTGAAGAAATTCAAGCTGGATGATCTTTACAGACATTTACACCATTAATTAACTATAGATTAAATTATAATAAAAAGTTACTTGGTACCATCTGAAGTGACCACGGATTATGAAAATCACAGATTATCTGATGCATATCTGTAGAGCTGGGCATACATGCTAACATTTTAATTCCCTTTAAAGATTTAAATATGAATATAATGTCACATGCATGCACATATATACATATAGTAAGTCCAATGGTTACAAAAAAATTTAGAGGTTTGAGACAAAGTGGAAATCATTATTGCAATGGATAAGATGTCATGAGCATCAGAAAAGGTAATTTATTAGAATTTGCAATATGTATCCCAGGATTATATACAGTATACGAGCAAGTATTGTTGTTATTAGGCAGGTGCCGTCGATTTGGTACCGGCTCATAGCGACCCTAAGCACAGCAGAATGAAACACTGTAGTTTTATTTAAAGTTAGAACTTTAAAGTAAAAGAACATGGGCTTTGGCATTGAGGGACAATTTCTATATTGCAGACTTTCCTTTAGCATCCATGGTTAGTGACTGTACATACTTATGAATCTGAAAAAAACAGATAAATGACTTGTCTGAGCTGCGTTTGTCTTCTAATTTATGTTTGGTGATGACATTAATGTGCATGGAGCTACAAATTGGTTATTTTGATGGAGACAAGGTATGGTCCTGTATCCTCTTCCACTGGGTGATAGCATCTCTGTCTGCTTGTTTACTTCTGAATAACTGATGTGTACAGCATATCATAATGAATTATCCATCATCTTGTTTTATCAACCAAATGAATGTTCTTTAGTTTGAGAACAAAACTTACACTGTGAAAACGAAATCCCCTGGTTCTTAATATGAATAAATAAGTGTTAGTCATGAAGGATTTATTAGTAGTTATCTCTATGGAATAATATGAAAAAGTGGGACATATGAAAGAGAAAGATGGAATTTCGGAAAAGGAATTGGTTGCCTCAATACTTAGGAAAGAGATTGAGTAAAATAACATCCTGTAATTGTAGCCAATACATAACATCATTACCTCGCTTACCCAAGGACCAGAATTCCCTGCCCTCCCTCCCACCTCAGTCGTCTTTTTGTTGTTGTTCAGGTGTCGTTCATGTACCATAAAATTCACTCATTCAAAGAGTCTAACTGTGGAGTTGTTAGTATATTTAAAAGGTGGTACAGCTATCACCACTATCTAATTCCAGAACAATTTCAGAACCCCAAAAAAGAAACTCCATTCTCATTAGCAGACACTCCCCATCTCTTCCCACTCTCCTATTCTACCCTTGGCAACCACTAACCACTTTCTGTTTCGATGTCTTCTACCAGTGGGATGGTACAACCTTGTAGACTGTATGTCTGGCTTCTTTCACTTAGCTTAATGTTTACCAGATTCATTTGTGTTATAGCATGCATCAGTACTTGATTCAGTTTGTGACTGAATGTACATACCACATTTTCTTTATCCATTTATCAATTGATCAACATTTGGCTTTCCATTTTTTGGCTGTTAAAAATAATGCTGTTTTATTCATGTGCACGTTTTTCTTTTCAATTTTTAAAGCTATTAATCTCATTGCTATCAAGTTGATTCTGACTCATAGAAACCCTTTGTTGTTGTTAAATGTGGTTAAGTTGATTATGACCCTGTATAGGATTTCTGAGGCTGTAAATCTTTGCCGGAGTAGAAAACCTCAACTTTCTGTGAAGATTGGCTGGTGACCTCGAACTGCCAACCTTACGGTTTGCAGTCTAGTGCTTATCCTACAGAGCTTCTGAAACCCTTTGTTTTTGTTGTTAAGTGCCTTTGAGTCAGTTCCTACTCATAATGGCCCTGTACAGAGTTTCCAAGGAGCAGTTGGTGGGTTTGAACTAGCAGCCTTGCAGTTCACAGCCCAGTGCTTATCCTACAGTGCCACAGCAGGACTCCCTGCAACCCTTTCTTGTTATTTGTTGTTAAGTGTCAGCCAGTCACTTCTGACTCATAGTGACCCACCAGGAGGACCTAAGAAATTCCTAGGTCATATGGAGTCCTGGTGTGCCACTGTAGGAGAAACACTCAACTGTAAGGTTGGTTTGAATTGCAAGCTAAGTGGTTCAGACTCACCAGCCGCTCCTCAGACACCCTATACAGAGTCTCTATGAGTCAGAATCAATTCAACCACACTTAACAGCAACAACAACAATGGTAATTCTATATTTAACCTTTTGAGGAAGTGCCAAACTGTTTTCCGTTTTATGTATTCACCAGCAATGCACATGAGTACCAGTTGATCTACATCCTTACAATACTTGTTATTATAAACCATCATAATAAGTGTGAAGTAATATTTCATATGGTTTTGATTTACATTTCGCTAGTGGCTAGTGATAATGAGCATCTTTTCATATTCCTATTGGCCATTTGAATGTTTTCTTTGGAGGAATGTTTCAATTGTCTTTTAACCTGGGAGTAAAATTTCTACCTATGAGATAATAAATTTAAGAGCATGGTGCACTATAAATTTGAGGGCAAGAAATGATACTGGAAAGAACGCCAGCTTTGTGGGTTACAAAGAAAAAGCAGATTTCATCATGAAGGTATCGTATTATTAGAATGCAACCTAAAATTATTCAAATTCTATTCCCCCACACACACTTCATTTCAGAAAACATTTTAAATAGTTTCAATGCAAGGAAACATGGTAAAACAGGAGACAAATGTGGTGTAGCAAGAAGAAAACTAAGTTTTAATGGGAGTTAGTATGCATTTGAGTTATGATGTTGTAGTAGAATATTGAAAGTACCATGGACTGACAAAAGAACAAACAGATCTGTGTTAGAAGAAGTACAGCCAGAGTGGTCCTTGAAAGCCAAGATGTCAGACTTCATCTCTTGTATTTCAGATACATTATCAGGAGGGACCAGTCCCTGGAGAAGAATATCATGTTTGGTAGAGTGGAGGGCCAGAGATAATAGGAAGACCCCCAATGAGATGGATTGGCACAGTAGCAGTAATGGGCTCAGGACCAGGCCTGTTTCATTTTGTTGTGTATAGGGTCGCTATGAGTCAATATCAAGTCAGCACCTAACAACAATAACAACAGTATTATATCATTGCTTGCTCTTCCTTGTTTCAGTAGTGATAATACATACCATCTGGTCTGTTAAAATACGTTTTTTAAAACCCTGTGTATGCATACAGAATTCACACTGAGCAAGTCCCTAAACCTATGGAAGAAAGCACTTGCTAAAGATCAGCCCCTTGTCTTTCTGAGAATGTTTTATAGCCTTTGATCTTTATGAAGAAACTGTCAATAAGAAAAGAGAAAAAACAAGAATAGTTATTCTTATTTTAAGAAAAACTTTTATTGTGATTTGAATGAACATTTACAAAGCAAATCACTTTTCCATTTAGCAATTCATGCACATTTTGTTTTGTGACATTGATTCTAGCCCCTTCCTCCCTGTGTTTCCCATCTCCAGTCAGCCTTCTTCCTATCCATTCCTACCTTCTGAGCTTTATTCCTAGGCAAGTGCTGCCCTTTTCATCTCATATGGTTGATTAGTTTTAGGGGTATGTATTTAACTTTGTGTTATTGTTCATCTTTTAATCTTATCGATTGTTTAACTGAAAGTTGAGTTAGGAGGTGTGGAGAGGGGCTGGTGAGTTCAGTTCCAGGCTTGAAAGAAGTCTAAGGGCCGTAGTTTTGGGAGTTTCAAACAGTCTATGTCAGACCAGTAAGCTAGGTCTTTAATATAATTTTTGTTTTTACTCCACATTTTTCTCCGACTCTGTCTAAGAACTATGTTGTTATCTGTTACAAAGTTGTCAGCAGTGGTAGCCGGGCACCATCTAGGTCTTAGGGCCTCAAGACTGTGGAGGCTGAGGTTCACACGGTCCATTAGTCCTTTGGTCTGTTTGTTTCCATGTGTCTTTGATTTCTTCACTCTACTTTGCTGTAGACAGAGAGAGACCAACTGTTGCAAGACCTGTTCTTCATGCTGCCTTGGCTCATTTGTTGTTGTTGTTAAATCCCATCAAGTCAGTTCTGACCCACAGCTACCATGCATAGGGTTTCCGAGGAGGAGCTGGTGAGCTTGAACCACTGCTCTTGTAGTTCAAACCAACTTTACAGTCCAGTGCATTAACCCATAGTGCCACACCAGGACTCTTTGGTTCATGGTACCTTGCAAATGAGGCTTTTAACAGGTCCATTCTAGTTCTACCCCTGCTGAGAATTTGCGTTTCTATTTCAGATATACTGAATTATAATCTGCATTTTAACAGGATATCCACGGATCTATGGAGTTCTGGTGTGGTGTTACAATATAATGCGCTAGACTGCAAGTTCAGTTTGAGTTGCAAGTACAGCAGTTCAAACCCACTAACCTCTCCTCGGAAACCCTATACGGGGTCACTGTGAGTCAGAACTGACTCAACAGCACTCAACAGAAACAACCTAGGGATCTATAAGAATCATTTGGGGGTCTTATTAAAATATATATTGCTGTTGTTGTTAAGTGCCGTTGAGTTGATTCCGACCCATAGCAACCTTGTATAGGGTTTGCAAGGAGCAGCTGGTAAACTTGAACCACTGACCTTGCACTTCAAATGACTTCGCAGTCTGACGTATTAGCCCACAGCACCACAATATATGTGAGGGGAAAGTTAAAAAGTTCTTGGGAAAATTCCATTGTCTTTTCATTTCATTTTTCCAGAAATTT